CATAATTACCAGAGAGAAGTTTCGAAAATCTCCCCTGGTTTCGGATCGCCCGCCACTCAAAGGACCTGTCCCATTGCCGAAGTTGCAGAGGTCCGTCTGGCAGCTCCGGAAGTACTCGGTGAAGCGGCCATTCACGTGGTCTCCGTCCGGCTTTTCCAGCGTGTCCTTGCAGTCGCGAGAGAAGGAGCGAATCCTTCCTGTGAGGCGAGGAAGTATTCGGAGTTGATGGTGTCGTTATCGTATTTGCGTTGTGCGTTGCGTCGTGTTGTAGAATTTTTTACATTTTGTATCCCCAATCTTCGGGGAGTATTTTCACTGAAGTTGCACTGTGCATGGACCGATTTGGTCCCATCGGGCTAAAAGTTCATCCGAAATCGTCCTGCCACAATGTGAGCGAGTCATCAAGATTTGTTCGGAAGCTAAAGATGGACGGGGGACTTGGATTCGATAGACTGTGCTGGTACCCATCCGTTACTTTCATCGGTTCATTACTTATTAACTTTGAAAAAAAAAGTGTTTAGAGTCCATCTACATGAAAGACTGGCCTGAAGAATGAATTTTGTTGAAAGAGATCTTCGATCGTATAACCACAGCGATGAAGGCGTTATTCTGCTCGAATGGGGGATGTGAATGAATTTTCACATTTTTGTTTTTGCTTTGTGTGAAGACGCGGGAGGGGTGCGACGTCGTCGCGATGTCGTCGCTGTTTGACCGCTGCTGCTTCGCGCGGTCCCGACGATGGTACCTCGGAGTTTTATCGTTGAGGAGGCTTCGCGACCAAGTTGGAGGAAGGTGGGGACGAGGGTTTCGAAACCCGTTACCACCAAAATTCGAACTTTTGTATGCTATGTGCAGTCCTCAAAAATTGTAATACGTTCCTGTTCTGGAATGCGCACGTCGTTCGCGATAGTTGAACGCGTTCTGCGCTGCACTTCCAACTGGCAGTGTCCTCAAAACTTGTTGCGTGACAGCAGCTGCTTTCAGATGCTATTTTGTTAGCCGAAGTCGCCCTTGTATTGAGATGGAATATCATGGATCTCTCTTGCCTGAATTCTTGGGTGGAGTGTTCGTAAACGACACGGAACCCAACTTCGTTTGGACGTCTCTTTTGATTTAACCAAAAGGATTCGAATGCGTATCGGTAAGTTTTTTGTGATTTTTCGAGGAGGCCTAACCTGGCTCCTCGGTTAGTTCCTGTCGGAAGATGGTGCAGTATCTCTTGTAGCAGGAGGTGATGTCGTTCGTGGGGTCCTCGACGCAGGGGTCGCCGGGTGGTGGGTTGCTCGTCGTGCACTTGTAGCATCGCCCCCACCCGTCCGCTCGCCACGCTGAGGGGGAAGAGACAGGAAGTGGAAGGGGGGTGGGGTCGGAAGGGGTGGAAGAGGAGGTGGGGACTCACCGAGTGCGGTCAGGAGGAAGATGATGTGCAAGCGGGAGACCATTTTGACGCTTGTGGGGGAGACACTAGTTCGAATGAGATGGTGTGAGGTGTCGTTATCTGCACACAAGATACGGGGTGGGGCAATAGGTCTGGCATCTGATATATCTTTGGACGTTGCAATCGCGCTGCCATGGAGGATGGCCTGGGTTTACGATTTGCAGTGATTCACGATTGCATGTAGAAAATTCCCTGTTTATTCCCATTTTTGGATTGGAGTGGCAGTGAAAGAAAGAGCATTCGTCCTATGCATGTGTGCTCAATAAGTTTGTGTATGCCATAAAGTCCCATTAAAATTTTGCAGTGATCGAAAACTCCTTGCCAGAACATGTACGCAGTTGGTGATCTTGTAGTTAATAAAACTGTCTTTTATGAAATTAATTTGGTTTTAATAAAACTGCTGCATGGAGTCGGAGTTCATTTAACTCACTTGTTCTTTTTTTCCGGTATTTTTTTTTTCTCGATACCTTCCACTTGTAGCAGTGGCGTAGCAAGAAATGTGGCCCCCCCCCCGCAAAACTTAATTCTGCTCACCTCCCCCCATAAAAACTCATTTCCTCGTGACAGGTTTGCTACTCATTGTATTAATGAAGTAAAATCTGATATTGAAGCATGGCATATCTTTAGATATGGCCCATTGGTCCTTTTTTTTTAAAATGGCTTGAGTCGTATCCATAATGATAGAGAAAAACGGGCCGCTTCTGATATCCTGAAGTAGCTCTGTTTCCAAATTATTTGCAATAAGCTCAATGAGCTCATTTTGGATTTGAGGACTCAGATAAGTAATTTTCCCACTGGGTTGGTGAAGAAGCTCCTTCATCACAGGACCAAACTCAGCCAAGAGCTCCACCCGTGAGAGAAAATTCCCATTGTACGCTCCACCGATTTTTTCTCTATGGCCGCGAAACGCTTGTGCAGTTGCAGCCAAATTAAGAGTTAATTTAAGCAAGCGCTCAAGCACTTGTTTCCAGAAGGATTTTGATGCTGTACTTGTCGTTCGGCTGCTTCGTCAAATGTGCCCTTCTGCTTCCATTGGAGATAGGTCGTGCAAGATGAGAGGTGTGCAGCTGATTTAGCACGGTCCAACATTTTTTGCGAAAGCCCACGCCAGTCACGTATGCCCGTAGACCAGGCTGAATGGTATTTTGAGTCATTCCTGCCAGCAGACAGCCAACAGTAAACGGCGTTCAGTTTTCGGGAATAACACAGCCAGGTTACTGGGATGGACAGTCCCGATTTCTTTGTGGTACTGAAATATAGTTCCGAGAACGAGCGGTCTCGAATTTTATCTCTTGGGTAGGGCCCCTTCGGCCGGCATGGTCCTTGCTCCAGAATAAATCTCTTCGTCTGGGAGGCGACGACATCTGTTGGAAAGTTTCCTCTGTCGGCTGTTGTAGGACCCAGGCCGCCTGGCGCTGGCTCGCTTAAATCTGCTAGGGCCACGTCGATTTCCAGTTGAAGAGCGACGTCGAAGTCTGGGCTCCGTGTCATTTCTTCGAAAGACACTTCTTCGACGCCACGCTTCTTCGAGTGGACGTTTCGACGAAAGTCTTTCCATCCAATCGAAGAAGTGACCTGGAACCGACGTCTGTCCCGACGTCGCCGCGTGAAACGATGCGATGATCTTCCAAGGCAACTCCAGGATCGTCATCCTCAGAGTTCCCCAGAGATTATTCTTAGTGGCTTTGCCTTGCGGTTCTTAGGGATCGGTTTCAAAAGTAGCTGCATTATCGGAGTTTGAAGCTCCTCCAGAAAAAAACTATCAATCTTTACTTTTTGCAGCTCTCGATCTGCTTGCCATCGTTTTTTCCTTTTTGCAGCACCAGTACTAGTCTTGCCACTCGTTACAAATAATCACAAAGGAAGAATAACTGAAAAGGTTTGTAATTTTCGGTCTGTATAACTTTTGATGAAAAGAGCGCAACTACTGAATGATGGTACTCACCGCCGAAGTTAACAGCAAGTGACCCTTTTCTTTCCCGATTACGACACGTTTATGTAGGTGTAAGGATGAGGTAGGCATTGCGCGTTAAGGCTACAAAACAATGCAATTCAAGGCCTTCACAAATTGGGGTCAAATGAAAGACATACTCTGTACTTGCGCGGCGCCAGCCAGGGCGCAGATCTTGCATTATACTTGTATTACCTCGCAATGCTATGGTCTAACGATGAGAGAGCTGCCTTCTCCAGAGATAAGTGAATAAGTTTAAACTCGCCTATGATGGATTGATAATCTGACGGTATTAAGAAACAGCCAACCCCCCCCCCCCTCCCCCACCATGAGCTACGGCCATTTACCTATTTTAATTTTTCCCCCCTTTCTTTTTGTATATATTTCATTACATTAGCGAAAATTTCGCATGTTTGATGGAAATTTTGGCCCCCCCACCCCCCAACCGCGGGGGCTGCTTAGGCGGTTGCTACGTCACTGATTTGCAGTAGTTCCAAAAGAGGGAACTTTTTTTGCCGCGATGGATTTCTGCATATTTAAGGCCTGTTTCAACACGTGCATATTTAAATATCTGAACATCTACAGTAAATATCTGAACTTCATCAGAATGAAAACAAGTAAAATTTGTAAATCCTCATAATTATCCTCATCCTTAAGGTCGCTAAGTATTTCATGAGGGGCATGAATTGTAATCCATGATTATCTGTCTATGCCAGGAGAAAAGTAGAATTTAGACACTCTTTTTTTGAGTCCTCGCCCTTGTTCCACGGTCCCCTAGTCAAACGGATTGCGAGCCCCAATTCTTTGTGGTCACCAAAATTGAGATGAATCGAGTGCGCATTATTGGTAACTCGATACGGTGTCACCCTTTTCCTCTCTCTCGTTTTGGCCTAACGGGCATTCAAGCTTCAAAGTTGAGCTGACGTTTTTGTGTGGCCTGGTCTTCTTTGAGATTCGATGGTTCGGGGGTTTTTCGACTAGGAAGTCGAGAATTTTTTTCGATCGCCGTCCCCAGTGCTTTCGCGATTTTGCGGATGCGTGACCGTGTGTTTGCTGCAAAATGTTGGAAAAGACGCGTCGAAAACGTAGAAAACGTATGAAAATAATAATATTAGAGTTTACATGAAGACTTCACAACTCATTAGTTAACGTCAATAGCTCTGCTTCCACCTGATTTAAATCTAAGCCCTGAAAGCCCTGTTTACTCATCCGGTGGAGATTTTTCATATGGCAATGGGAATAGAAATTTGTTTTGAAAATTTTAAATTATGAACATGCTTCGTCTGGCTTGAGGAGGGAATGAAAGGAAATAGTTTTTTTAAAACTAAAATTACGTTGGCATGAAAGAAATCACGAAATATGATTTATTGGGATGCAGATAGGACATGCACAAAATATAAACATAGGTTCATTAATAATTAATGCCCAGGGAGAAAGTGAAGGATAAAATTATGAATGAGACGAGACATAATTTCCACGAATAAGAATCTAAACTCGTGTCAAAAGTAGATCAGATTGGTGAGAGGATTAAAGTGGGAATGTGGGGATGGACATAACATTTGTAATCAGTCCGTTGATGGATGTTTAAATCTCTTCATTCAAGCATCGCTTTCATTCTTTCTTGAGTTGGTCCGGAGCATTCTTTCCTTCGTTTCCGGATCCTCCGCCGCCCACAGGATCGGTCCCATCGCCGGAGTTGCAGAGGTCCGTCTGGCAGCTCCGTTGGTACTGGATGAAGTGGGGATTCACGGAGTTTCCGTCCGGCCTATCGAGCCTGTCCACGCAGCCACGAGAGAAGGAGCGAATGATTCCTGCGAGGCGAGAAAGTATGGGGGGTCGATAGTGTCGTTGAGTCGTTTGTGTCGAGTGGGATTCGAGCGGGAGTTGCATGGTCCCAACCGTGAACCTATGCCGAATTTTCCCACCACCGATCTTCCTGGAATATTTTGACTACAGTTGCTCTAAGCATGGACCGAATTGGTCCCATCAGGCCAAAATTTTATTGAAAGTCATTCTGCCAGAGTGTGAGCGAGTCGTCAAATATTATTAGGAAATCGAGGATGGACTGGAGTCAACAAGCTGTGCTGATTCCCATCAATTCCTTACTTATTTACTTGAGGAAAATAAGACTGCCTTGAAGAATTAATCTTAATGGAAGAGATCTTCGATAATATAATCGCAGCGATAAGGCGATTGGCAGGCTCCTGTCTGAATAGCGAACATTAATGAATTTTCAAAATTGTGTTGGGAAGACGCGGGATGGGTGCGACGTCGTCGCTGTTTGACCGCTGCAACGTTTCGCGTTTGCGACGTAATGGTAACTCGAAGCGATGGCGTTGAAGAGGCGTTTCGACACTATTCCAATCGCTGACTCCAACGTCACGATTTCGACGTTGCGAGGAATGTTGCAGTCTTGTGCAACGCCCATATAGCTACCAGGACTTTCGAACTCCGCGTACAAAGAATATAAGACTGTTTGGAAACCTCTGGCGTACCACCTGACATTGCCTCGCGTACCAACGGTGGTGTGCGTTCCGCAATTTGGAAACTGTTGGTCTGCGTACAGCGTTGATGTGACAAAACTATGGTGTCAATCATAGAGCCTGAGACACATCAGTGTACATTGCAGCTGTACCAAATTTATCGTTGCATAGGCCTAAGGCCTATTAAGAGTTGTTAAAAATCGGCATAATTGTGTCATGCATCGATAAGAACTCACTTTTGTTTGAGTGGTTCTCCTAAATGTGCGCACGTAAGTGGTTACGGGGAATACGTGTGGGGGGGGGGAAATGTGGACTTCCGCGGGGCCTCTATAAGCTTTCCAGTTCCCAGGGGGGAAATTCGAGTGTCTTCGCAATAAGGAAACTCTGCCAACCCTGGGGTGGAGTGGTGTGGCGGATGGGTGGGGGAGGGACGGGGATCACGAAGCAATTTAGCCCAAAAGGTTCGCAATTTGGTAAACAAAATGTTGTCCTCAAAAACTGCAATACGTTCCTGTTCTGAAATTTTACACAAGTGCCATACAATCGTTGAACGCGTTCTGCGATGCACTTCCAGCTGGATGAGCTGGCAGTGTCCTCAAGGCTTGTTGCGTGACAGCAGCTGCTTTTAGGTGTCATTTTGTAAGCCAAAGTTGCCCTTATGTGAAGATGGAATGACATGGATCTCTCTCGCGAATGAATTCTTTGATGAAGCAGTCGTGCTGACAGGAACTCAGCTTCGATTGTATTTCTTTCGAGTTACCAAAAGGGCTGGAATGCTTATCGCTAGGTTTTGTTGCGGATGTTCGAGGAGGCCTAACCTGGTTTTTCGGTTAGTTCCTGTCGGAAGATGGTGCAGTAGTTCTTGTCGCAGGGGTTGATGCCATTTTCGACGTTCGCGGGGTCCTCGACGCAGGGGTCGCCGGGTGGTGGGTTGCTCGTGGTGCACGTGTAGCATCGCTTCTGCCCGTCCGCTCGCCACGCTGAGGGGGAAGAGACGGGAAGTGGAAGGGGGTGGGGTCGGAGGGGGAAGAAGGAGGAGGTGGGGACTCACCGAGTGCGGCCAGGAGGAAGAGGATGTGCAAGCGATAGACCATGTCGATGCGTGTGGAGGAGACACTAGTTCGAATGA